GCAGGAGTCGTCTCCGGTGCTTGCGAGGACGAGGACGGAGGAGCTTTGCCTCGCTGCTCATGGACTGGTTATTTCCTGGCCCTTTGTTGTCAGTGATCTTGTCCTGATATGCAGAAAGCGCCAGGCAGTCACTGCAAAAATGCACGCAGCAGAAACCATAGCTGTGTTAAAGTCAAGTTTCATTCAAGGGCACCTCTGCTGTACAGACTTTTCATTTGGCTTGGATAGGGAGCTATGTTGGTTTCCAAACCTCAGGAGCGGGGCCCCCGTGCTGTACTGGACTAGCTGCATCAACACATCCCAGTCGCTCCTTTTTCTTGGACCCCGCCTTGAAGCTTCATGCACAGAATCTGGGATCAGTCCCTGGAATCCATATTTTAATAAGCTCCTTAAGTGGTTGGGATGGGAGGGAGTCATCATACTTTTTACCCTTTTATGCTATTTACTGTTTTAAAATTCTTTTTCATTGCCCTAGAATGACAGCTCAAGAAAGGCAGAGGTTTTTACCTTTTTTTTTTCTTCAGATGTTTATGCCATAGCGTGTGCATGCTCGCCAGAGAGGGAAAGTGAGGATAACTCCCTGGGGGATGGTCCTGCCACACTACCTTCTCCTTTATTCTCTCAGGATTGTAGGCAGGCACATACACTTGCCCAGCGTGATTTTTTTCCTCCCTTTTTTTTTAAGAAAGATTTTTGCTATAGGACATGTGCACGCCAGAGAGACAGAAAGTGAGAAATCACCTCCCTGGGGGGGATGGCCATGCCACAGTCCTTTTTTCTCCATTCTCCTCTTGGGATCTTGGGCCTGCATGCACGTGTGCCTGGCATGAGTTTTTGTTCACCTGGTCTGGGACTCAAACTGTGGTCGACTACATGGGAGTCTAGCGATGTAACTACTATGCCATCAGGTGGTCCCTCTTTTTTTATTTATTTTTATTTTTTATTTATTTATTTTTGGAGAGGTTTTTCGCTATAGGGCGCGTGCGCTTGCCAGATAGACAGAGACATGGAGACAGAAAGCGAGAAATCACCCCCCAAGGGGGCTCTTTTTTTATTTTTTAAGAGAGATTTTTTGCTATCGTGTACACTTGCTGAAAAGACAGAGACAGGAAGACCAAAAGCGAGAAATCATCCTCTCCAGGGGATGGCCACGCCACAGTCCTTTCTCCTCCATTCTCCTCTTGGGATCTTGGGCAAGCACGTACACTCGCCCAGTGTGAGTTTTAAGCCACTGGGTTTGGGACTTGAACTATGGTCGGCTATGTGGGAGTCCAGCGACATAACTATTGTGCCATCTATTGACCCAGCATGATTTTCAAGCTTCCAGGTCTGAGACTTGAATCACCATGCCACCTTCTGACCCATCTGTTTTTAAAATTAAAAAAAAAATATTTTCTTAGTGTAAGGGAATGTGTATACTCACCAGAGAGAGAGAGAAAGGACCCTTGCCAGAGAGAGAAATTCTCAGTGGGGTGTGGTCACACCACAATCCTTTTTCTTCCATTTCTCCATCCTATTGGGATTTGGGGTATACACATACATGCTCCTGGTGTGTTTTTCAAGTCATCAGGGCTGGGATTTGAACTGTGGTCAACCATATGGGATGTAGCTCTCTCTACACAGTGCTTGACTAGGAGCAAATGACACATATCCTTTGCTTTTTTTTTTAAAAGAGATGTTTTTTATTTCTGGAACTATCTTATGGGTCATTGCACATAGCACCGTTAGAAGTAGGTGCTAAGTACTGAGTCGCGGTCAGTTTGTGAGCTCTTATAAGTTGCCAGTGGCTGCTGCACATTTGGCTCTCTCAGCCTTGAACTTAAAGGCTGTGCTGTTATTTTCACATCTTTAATAGAACCATAGGAAATGTCTAACTACAATGTGTCGTCATAAATATGCATTGGTCTTATTTAAGACACTTCGGTTCTAAAAGTATGAGTACTTCTGTTATTATCTGTGAATTTCTTTCCTTTTTTTATTTGATATTTAAGACCTTTTTAATGGCAATATATATTTAAAACAGCCGTACCAATTAGCATTCGCCCATGTACTCAGGGCCTGTGAAGAACCAGGTTGGGCTGAGTGGGTGAGCTGTAGGCATCCAGGTGGTTCCTGTGGACTTCTTCAGGATGGGGGACAAGCTGCTTATGTCTGCTGTGGATTGGGGGGAAATAAAGTATTCAGGTTAGGTATTACCTCCCCGTTTATTTTTCAAGAATTATTTAACTTTATTTATTTGTTTATTTATTTATTTATTTATTTATTCATTCATTCATTCATTCATTCATTCTAATTTGACCAGAAAGGGAGTGGGGGGAGAGAGAGAGAGAGAGAGAAAGAAAGAAAGAGAAAGAGGGAAAGCAAGCCGCCAGGTCTGGGACTTGAACTGTGGTCAGCCATGTGGGAGTCCAGTGCCCTTAACCACGATGCCACCTACCGGCCCCTGGTGTTCCCCTTTTAAGTGTTGCTCTTCTTGTTTTTAAAAAGTTTATTTATTAGTTAGTTTGCTATAGGACATGTGCACTCACTGGAGAGAGACAGAGAGAGGGAAAATGAGAAATCACCCTCTGGGAAAATACCCATGTCGTAATCTCTTTTCCTCCATTCTCCTCTCAGGATTTTGGGTAAACATGCGCATGTGTCCAGTGTGTTTTTCAAGCCACCGGGTCTGGGATTCTAACCACACAGTCATCCATGTGGGATCCAGATGCCATAACCTCCATGTCACCTGCTGGCTCTAAAGTTTATTTATATTTCTTCCATCAAAGAAAGAGAAACAGGCACAGGCATCTCTCACAGGGTTCCCATGCCATGATTCGCCCTCCCTCTCAACCAGCTGGTATCACTGGCACGTGTGCCCAGCCTTACAGGGAGGGCCTGGACCCTGAACCGAAGGCCTTCTCGTGTAGGTGCAGTTGTGTTACAGCTGCATCACTATCTAGCCCCTAAGCATTGCTCTTTCTGTTCACGAGTTAATTTTTTTTCCCCCAGCAATTGCCGTGCAGATGTACTGTAACCTTTCTCTTCAAGTGCAGTCGCCCAGTATGTGGTTAAGCGTGTGCCGTGCGTGAGAAGTCATGGGAGAGGGGTCCTTTCCCAGGTTACAAGGAACTCTCAGAGATGACGTGCAAGTCGCTGGTTTCTCCAGGGGTCTCTGGTTTGGTGCTCAGTGCAGGCAAGCAGACTCCTGGAGTTCTTGCTGGACCTGCCTGGGGCCTTTAGAGATATGTACAGATGCTCTATGCCTGACTTGTCTAGAGCTTTCTTCTAATTCTGGACTAAAAGCTAACAGGAGTTTGGAGGATGATGGTGAGAATTCACATCCCAGAGTTGGCTTCTGGTATGCAGAAGTTTGAGAGAGCTAGTGATTTTTAAAGAAGTATATCCAGATCTAGCTTTTCCCCAGAAAGGATTTAAAGCATCTTGAAACAAAAGACATTTATAATATAGCTAATAAAATGGGAAATCAGAGTTAGCCCCATAGCCTAGTGGATAAGGGAAGCTGGATTCCCCCATAGCTGACTGCGGGTCAAATCCCGGTTCTGGTGGCTTCAAGAGTACACCAAGCATGAGCGTGCATGTGTGCCCAGAATCCAGGACGGAGAAATGGAGGGATTGTGGCATGACCATGCCCCATTGCAGGGGTGCTTTTTTTTTCTCTCTCTCTCTGGTGAGTGCACATGTCCTTTGGCAATGAAAAAAAAAAGTGAGAAATCAGCTTGAAGGACAGGAGAGTACAATAAGGATTAGCATGATGGTAGCGATAGCCGAAATGGGTTTCTAGCTTCTCCCCAGCCAAAGCAGAAACGATGACCTAGCACAGGGGAGGGAAGGACAGGAACTGAGCAGTCACCCAAGACCTCTGGTTGGTACTGGGCACTGCGCCAGGCCCTCTGAGGACCTTGTCTTCTTTAATCCTCACACAGTGCTGCAAAGGGATTAGCCTTATCCCTACTTTACAGAGGATGAGACTGAAAGGCAGAGAGGTGAAGCCACCAGCTGGAGTCAGAAGCCACCCAGGCTAAGTGGGTTCTAGGATATGTATCGAGTCGGGAATATCACACCTGGTTAGCACTGAAAGGAGGAAAGGTCTCAGTTCCTTGGAGTAGAAAACATTGTTTTGCTAACCAAACTTTTCTTTTTCTGAGATTTTATATATTCTTCTTCCAGCTTTTCCCCGAAGTATATACCCACACACATAAGAATTCATGTCTTTCTTGCAAGAAATACGTTGTACTTTTTCCTGTACAAGCTGTCTCTTTTCATCGTCATGGACAGCTTGCCATGACAATATGAATGGATGAAGTCCATTTGTTTTTAATATCGGTATCATATCCCATAGTTTAGATTTATCATACTTGAGCCAGTCTCTTATTGATAAATATTTGGAGGATTTCCAGGTTTTTTTCTCCCTCTCTTACAAACAGTGTTATAGTGTATCTATCTACCTATCCTCAAACTCTTGTAAGTACATAGGAGATAAATTGTTAGAGGAGGAATTACTAGGTCAAAGTGTATATTCTCATTTTAAGTTTTAATAGAGGCCGTTGATCGCCTTCCACACCAACTATAAAAAAGATTGTATTACCGCACGCCTCCTATCTTCTGCGGGTGCTGAGGGAGATGCAGAAAGGATGCCAGAGTGTTTGTTGCCCTCCAGGAATATCCATCTATGTACCTAATCCTAGGGAATGTCTGGGGCGTCGCCTTGGGTGCGTAGGGGAGTGGGTGGATTTAATTCGATGTCTCAAGCTTGCCTTGCAAACACTGTGCATGGTGTCTGAGACCAGTCTTTCATTATATTGATTCTCTCGGGTAACAGATGTAATTTCCTTAGGGCAGGGACCTCGTTCTTCGTGACTTACAATATGTCTCACACGTCTTCATTGCTTCCCGGCGACGTTGCCATTACCCCACTTCAGGTGGTATTTGAGGATCTAATTGAGGCATTTCCTTTTTTTGGATGTGTGAAGAATTAATAACTTTGGCATTCTGTACAGGTCATGGAATATCAGCCTGGAGGGGACTTGCTGTCACTTTTGAATAGATATGAGGACCAATTAGATGAAAATATGATTCAGTTTTACCTAGCTGAACTGATTTTGGCTGTTCACAGCGTTCACCAGATGGGATATGTACACCGGTAAGTAAGACTCGGGTAGCCTTCTGAGAATTATCTGTATCGCGTAAGAGTTCTTTCGCGGAGATGAGCGGGTGAATGATTTCAGGATCAAAGTAACAGTGCTAGCCTTACTTGTAATCGACCGAAAGTAAGCTTCGAAAATGGCAGACGTTTCCGCTTGTCCCTTCACCAGTGAGCTAGCTCTAGAATTGTGATGCTCACAAGTTTCCTGCTAAGATGTGCTAATGTAACAAATAAGACCAGGTGCTTTTGCATGGGGTCTTTGGTTTTTATGGTAGAAAACCTGACTTTGACTTGTAGAGACATACATGTAGGAGCAGAAGACCATGGAATTGTACTTCTAACTCTATCTCTTACTAATTTACAAAGGTATTCTATGAAATCCCTAGTTGATAAGTATTTCTTCATGTTCTCGCTCATCTGATCCTCACCCCCCACCCCCCAAGGGCCCATGTGCTTACCAGAGAGAGAAGCACCTGCCCATGGGGAACGGTCATGTTACAATCCCTTCTGTATTTCTCCCACCCCCTTTTTTTTTAAGAGAGATTTTTGCTATAGAGTGTGTGTGCTCACCAGAGAGACAGAAAGTGAGAAATCACCCTCCCCTCCAGGGGATGTTGGCCATGCCACAATCCCATCTCCTCTCAGGATCTTGGGCACGCATAGTTTTACCACCAGATCCGGGACTTGAACTGTGTTCAACCATGTGTCAGTTCAGCACTGTAACCATTAGACCATTCGTTGGTCCCTCTCCTTCAAGAATTTTGGGCACATAGACACACACACGTAGCATGTTTTTCTTTTCAAGTTGCTGGGGCCAGTACTTGAACTGTGTGGTTAGCCAAGTGGGATCCAGCTGCCTTAACCATTGTGCCATGGGCTGGTGCACATCTGATGTGTTATGTATATCTAAGGTTGTGGGAATGGAATGATGAGTAGACCAGGAATCATGGAATCTGGGTGAAGTCTCAGCTTTTCCATCAGTTTGCCATATGACCTTGAAAAGTTTTCTTAGCTTCTTTTGGCCTTAGTTTTTGTGGTGTAGAATGGGTTTTCTAGGAAAAAGAGCCCACCTAATAGCACATATTTACTTCTTTTCCTTTTTCCTCCTTTCCTCTCTCCCTCCCTCCTTTCTTCTCTTCCTCCCCTTCTTCCTTTTTTAAAATTAAATTTATTTTGCAAAATGTATGCTGATCCTTTATTTCCATCGACAGGGGAGGTCCATGTAGTAGATTGTTTAAACTAAACTTCTTTGGTGAATCGAGATACTAGTTTAACGGTCGCTTGCTGATTGGCATGGAGAAGACAACACTAATTCATGGTCCTGATTATCTTACAGAGACATCAAGCCTGAGAACATTCTCATTGACCGAACAGGTCACATCAAGTTGGTGGATTTTGGATCAGCTGCCAAAATGAATTCAAATAAGATGGTAAAAAAACAAAAAATAGGATAGCTTAATAGTGATTATGCAAAAAAAAAAATGTTCTGTGGTCTTTGTAAATTTGGGAAATAGTGGGATAAAATGATGAGCAACATTTTGGAGCCTTCATCGGCCAGTGTCCCTTTTCCTCGGTGGATGGAGGTAGGGATGGAGACAGTTGTTTTCCAGACCCTGGTATTCTTTTATGCCTAAAACCTATTACCCCAAAACATTTTAATAACATTGTTACAGTTTGTTTGGAACAAAAGTAACATGCCTATTTTGTCCGTCAGTTCGTTCGTTCGTTCGTTCTTTCTTTCTTTCTTTCTTTCTTTCTTTCTTTCTTTCTTTCTTTCTTTCCGCCTGTTATAGATTGTCTTCTGTTAACATTGTCTTTTTTACTTTGAAGTATTTTGGTGGGTCTAGCCTGTAGTGTGGTGGTTAAGAAGGCTGGATCCCACATGGCTGACTGCGTGGTTAGAGTCCTGAAGCTGGTGGTTTGAAAATCACATGAGGTGGGTATAGATGCGTACCCAAAATTCTGAGAGGAGAATAGAGGAGAAGAGATTGTGTGACCATTCCCCATGGGAGGTACTTTCTCATTTCCTTCTTTGTCTTTGTCTCTCTCCTTTGGACACATGCATCCTCTAGCAAATTAAAAAAAATTTTTTTTTGGTGAAATATAACCTTCTTTACTTCAAATCCTCTATTTTATATTAGGCAGGAAAATTAAAATTAATCACTGGAACACTTGAACCAGATATTCTTGAGTGTTAAAAACCAAGTACTTAAAATGTCATTTTAAAGTCTTGGACCTTTGGAAAAATTAAGCTGTATTCCATGTGCTAATTAGGAAGGTGGGAGGGCAGTTATAGAGACCAAGAGTGAAAATACTTTAGGAAAAATATGACAGTGAAAAAGAGAACTAAGTTTAAAAAAAAATCTTCTAATAAACTCGGTAAGTACTAAAATGTGAATTTTGAAGTCAACTATGAAAAAAAATACAGGTCCATCAGACGTTGACTTCGATTATAAAACAGATTTCATAACTGAGCTACTTGGTGACTCAGACAAATCCTTAGGAAGTTGGACTTTTAATTCTTTCTCTAGAAAATGCTGATTCTATTAAGAAAACACAAATTACGAGGTTAGAGAAGCTGCTCTTCATAATGTACTCCCCCACTCCCTACCGTTCTGAGAGTTAAGTTCTTCATAAAGGAAAATATGTAAAATTGCCTTGTTTTCTCATATTCCTTGGAGGAAGAGTAGATATTAAGTTGATCCTAGGCAAGGGTTTGGAGTTGTAGAAACTCTGCACTCTGGCATCTGGTGTACCTGTTCTATAGACCTAAGACCTAGCTGAGATGATTTCCTTGGTGTTCAGACTCTTGGAAAAATAGGCTTCATGTGCCGCCCAAGGTCAAGGTGTCTCAACCTCAGCACTATTTTTCCCCCCTTTGGGTTATGTTTTTCTAATCTATTTACTTGATCATTACATTAAGAATTAGATTGTAGAGTCAAAACGTTTTATGTTTCATAAATTATGTACAGTTCAAAAACGAGCATGAAAGCATAGGTATTGAATTTAGAAAAGTTGAATAACACAAAGTTTTATCACTTAGGGTTCAAAGATTTCTATGTTGTATTAATAGTATTTAAAAACATTAGAAATTATGTATAAACATATACATTTAGAAATTAGTGAAGAGGCTTGACCTCGTAGTTTAGTAGCTTAAGGGAGCCAGCTCCCACATGGCCAACTACAATTTGAATTCCTATCTCAGTGGACTGAAAAAAACACCCTGGGCATGTGTGTGTCTGCGCTCCAAATACCAACAGGATGGAGAAATGAAGGAGAAAGAATTGCAGTGTGACCATGCCCCATTAGAGGGTGCTTTCTTCCTCTTGCTGTTTCTCTCTGGTAAGTGCATACACCCTCTGGCAATTAAAAAGAAAAAGAATAAATTAAACTATAAGTCTGATAATATGAAGGATTATCAAAAAGTTCATGGAAAAATGGAATTAAGTGTGGTTTAATTTTTATTGCCTGCAAAAATTTTGAAATTCATGCATAATTTTTTCACAATACACATTTTTTATTAATTGAGGACTCTTTTATAACCTTAGCACTAACTTTTTAAAAATAATTTTTAATTTAATTTTAATTATTATTATTCTTCAACTTTTTGCTATAGGGCATGTATACTCACTAGAGAGAGAGAGAGAGAGAGAGAGAGAGAGAGAGAGAACACAAATCTCCAGGTCTGAGACTCGAACTGTGGTTGGCCATAGGGGAGTTCAGGGCCTTAACCATCATGCCATCTGCTGGCCCCAATATTACTGACATTTTGCTGGATAAGTCTTTGTTCTGGGAGGCAGTTATAGGATCTTGACCTCACTCTACCTACTAGATGCCAGAAGCACTCTCCTCCTGAGGTGTGACAACCAAAAATGTCCCCAGTCATTGTCAAATGTGCCCCATGGGTGGGTGGTACAAAGTTGTCTCCTATTGAGAATACCTGCAGTAGATTGAGAAGTATCAGAAAATGATTACCTTAGAGCCGGCCATATGTGTTTGCCATAAGAATATTTTTTTGAGAAAACTAGATTAAGATCCAGAATCACTACTTGGCAAAAACATGGGAATTAAGAGTCAGGCCCTATCTCTGTGTCTGGAGTCACTCTCTGCAGAGCTCTTGGTAAAGAGACGGGTCTCCCATTCATTTTAGGTTTCTCATTTCAATGCTTGAAACTGCCCTTTTTCACATCTTCTAATTGTAGCAACCTTTGCTGCGGGCTGGGAGCCTCTCCGAAATACTCAAATTGACCTAACTCAAGGCTCAACCCCTAAAGATTTTGGTCAAGGAAATGTGACGCTCCGAACAACACACCTGAGAATATTGTATCTTTTCTTTCTTCCTTGTGCTTTCGGGGGCAGAATTTGACAGGCAGATAAGAAAGCCATTTTTAACGTTGCTTTAAGTGCAAAGGCCCTTTTAATATAGAACAGCAATAATTATAATCCATATCGAGTGTGACTATAAGTTGTAAATTAAAAAACATTTTTTAAAATTTTATTTACTGTTATTATTTTTTAATTTGGCCAGAGAGAGACAGAGAGGGGGTGGGGGAAAGCGAGAAAGCAAAGCTGCCAGGTCTGGGACTCGTACCCCGAGGCCCCAGGGGAGTCCAGTGCCTTAACTACCACACTACATGCTGGCCCCTAGAGATGTAAATTTTTAAAAAGTTATTTTTGATCAGTGGTGGTGGGTTAAACATGTGTTTCCTTTAGTTAGAATATTTTGTAGGCTTAAAGTAGGTTCTCAATATTTTTTTTTTTTTTTTGGAGAGATTTCGCTATAGGGCGCGTGTGCTCACCAGACAGAGAGAAACAGAGACAGAAAGAAACATAGAGACAGAAAGCGACAAATCACCCCCCCCCCCAGGGTGGATGGTCACGCCACAATCCCTTCTCCTCCATTCTCCTCTTGGGATCTTGGGCACGCACGCACACATGCCCGGCGTGTGTTTTAAGTCACCGGGTCCGGGACGTGAACTGCGGTCGACTACATGGGAGTCCAGCGACATAGCCATTATGCTAACTGCTAGTTCCTGGTTCTCAATATTTCTGTCCTCAAAATATCCTCTGTAAGGTATAACCCACATTTACTGAAATTCCTTTATATTGCTTTCCCCTATCACAGCCAGATATTGTCTTTGTATTTTGGATATTTGTGAAGGTTAGATCTGTTTTCCATCATCCATCGTATTTGTTTCAAGTATCTTATTCAGAATGTTACTTTGGAGTTTGGTCTGTTATTAAACATATGGGCCACCTTGTGACACCACTTCCTTCTGCGTGACACAGGTTATTCACTTCATGTTATTAGAACCTCAAAGAGTGGCAGACAGCTGACAGTTCCACCCTGTCTCATTTGGATGAAAACAATTGTCAGAAGATGGTAAATAAAGCTCTTGATAGCATCTTAAGTAATAATCGGCCCCATTTAGCAGTTGGAAACCCATAGGAGATAGCCCTCTTTAGATTTGTATAGGAGTGAAAGATTTTATTTCTTTTCCACAGGAGGACCAACATAGTTAGAGTTTCTTTTTACCCAGCTGCTGTGGTTATGCCCTGAGAAGCTAGATGCGGGAAAGTTAGGTTTAAATAGTTTTATAAAGTTTAAGCATTTTATGGAAAGGGACTGGAAGGAAGAAGAGTATGGTTTTCTTACTTTCTCCCTCATCTACTTTTGCTTTGTAAATGAATCTGCTGTGTAACCCTACCTCCCTTTTCCTTTTTATTTCTTTTCTTTTCTCTTCTGTCTCCCCAAGTGTTAACAGACTTTCCTATCCCCTAGTCATTCTCTTATAGCCATGGGTTGACCTAGTTTATTTTTCTTTCCTGTCAATACAGTGAGAATCAACTAAAGTTCAGTAATCAGATAGTGTACTGCAGGTAGACTGGGCTCCTGGGACGTGCTCACTTTTAATATTTCACTCAGGTTAACTGTCTGAACTGACTTGGAAATCATTATGAGGATATGTAAGATGACAGGTCGAACATGTTTAATGTGCTTGGAGGCCACTGACAAATGAAAATTTAGTACTCATTCATTGTCATTAAAGTCCTTTGTTAATTACTATTAAAGGCTGGGAGAGCTTTATCCAGCATCATTACTGGAGAAAGGAGACCTTGTAGTGTCCTCTCTGTACATTCACTTTCCTCTCAGTACCTAATTAAATTAAAGCAAAGCAAGGGACCACAGATGGTATAATGGTTACATCACTAGACTCCCATATGACTGGCCACAGTTCAAGTCTTGGACCCGGAAGCTTGAAACTCACACTGGGCGTGTGTGCGTGCATGCCCAAAATCCTGAGAGGAGAATGGAGGAGAAGAATGGATTGTGGCTCGGCCATCCCCCCAGGGGGGATGATTTCTCGCTTTCTTTCTCTCTGTCTCTCCCTGTGTCTCTGGCTAGCACACGTGCCTTATAGCAAAATCTCTTTAAAATGTACTTTATTGATGTAAAGCTCAGCCTTATAGGTATGTGGCCATATCCACACAATCTCTTACTCCCTTGGGAACACTTAATAATCTTTTAATGGGGAGAAATCCCATGTAATTGCTGACCAGAGAGAAGTTCATTTACAATGCAGTGTTTTAGGACACCTGGTCAGTATAGAATACAGCTAAACTCAGGGCCTCTCTTCTGTGGGGAGGAATTGTAAAGAGGTGATCCTTTTGTCCTTTTTTTCTCAGTTTTGCGTATGTGCCTGCTTGAGACAGAGAGAGAAGAGAGAGAGAGAAAAAGCAAGAATCCCTCCCCCCGCCCATGGGGGATGGCCATGCTGCAGTCCCTTCTCTTCCATTCTCCTCTTGGGGTTTTGGGCATGTACACATATACACCTGGTGTTTCCTCAGGCTGAGGCAGTTGGGACTTGAACTGTGCAGCCGGTCATATGGGATCCAGCTGCTTTAACCTCCACACTATCTGCTGGCCCCCGAAAAGTGATCCTTAAACTTTACATTTTATGACTCGATAAAACTTCAAAACGATGTGCTGATCATAGCTGTTACCGGCATAGCAGGTTGCTTGGTAAGGGGTATGAGTGAGGGGCAGAAAACCATCTTCTTTCATCAGATTCATTTCAAGAAACAGAAGACATTTAAACACAAAGTAGTCAGAAGGGCACAGTCTCAGGGGAAACTGAAAAAGCACAGTTCTTTAAGTGGAATAGATTGGGCTTTATAAGAAAACCTTCTGAGGCCAGTAGATGGCATGGTGGTTGGGCTGCTAGACTCCCACATGGCTGAGCATGGTTCAAGTCCTGGACCTGGCAGCTTGCTTTCTCACTCCACCCCCCCATCCCTGTTTTCTTCTGGTGGATTAAATAATAATAATAAAAATAAAATTAAATAGTTCTTAGGAAATAAAAAAGACCTCTTACATTGTCCTAATCTTCCTTTGCCAAGGCCAGGTGCTTGGGCATCATTGGGTTGGGTTTCTGAACGATGGGGAGGAGTCACCGGAGCAAGAATTAGGGCAGGGGTGGTGGTGGGTGGGGAAAAGGAACTTATTAACATTTGGCCCTTGCTGGAGTTATTTATCATGTCTTGCTGCATGGGTGGGCCCAAGTAGGAATGTTGATTCTAAAAGCAGTTTTCTAAATTTTCAATCTTGACATTTAACAGACGCCTGTAATATTGTATTGCCAGCTAGCTGCCAGTTCTTCTTTAACAGTTAGACTGATCTTATAGATTCCTCCTTAAGGGTTTATTACCATTTTGCTGTTTCCATAAGTAAGAAGTTTTGTCATATCAGTAACTCGGATCAAAAAAGGCACCTTCTGTTTCAGGTAGGTAGCTGACTCTTATTTGTGTAAGCAAAGATGAATACCATCAACAACTCTTGCACCTTCGCCTCTGGATTTTTTTTTTTTTTTAAATTAGTAAAGCCTTTGCATTTCCTGACAGCGTGCCACTTGATAGAAGATTTAAGTGCCTGGGAGAATAGTAATCAGTGGCAAATCAGCTTGAGTCTGAAATGTGGCTGTTGGCAGTCTACTTGAAGATAATTGAAAGTTTCGCTGTATTCTTTTATTTATGGGTTTCTAGGTAAATGCCAAACTCCCTGTTGGGACCCCAGATTACATGGCTCCTGAAGTATTGACTGTAATGAACGGGGACGGAAAAGGCATCTACAGTCTAGAGTGTGACTGGTGGTCGGTGGGAGTCATCGCTTATGAGATGATTTACGGGAGATCCCCATTCACAGAGGGAACCTCAGCCAGAACCTTCAGTAACATCATGAATTTCCAGGTAAAGCACCATTAGTAGGTTTCAAAGTAAGATTAAGAAATGTCATTTAGGGGCCAGCTGGCGGCATGATGTTTAAGCGTGCTGGACTCTCACATGGCAGACTGAGGTTTGAGTCCTAGACCTGGTGGTTTGCTTTCTCACTTTCTCTCTTTCTCAGTTTCTCTCTGGTCAAATGAAAAACTACTACTAATAAATTGGGACCAGCAGGTGGCATGGTGGTTCAGGTTCTGGACTCCCACATGGCCAACTGTGGTTCGAGTCCCAGACCTAGTGGCGTGCTTTCTCACTCTTTCTCATGACCACATGTGCCTTATAGTAAATTTAAAAATCATCATCTTAATAAATAAATAATTATTTAAAAAACTAATAATAAAGTTAAATAAAATAATTCTTTAAAGAAAGAGAAATATTAGATGTTATGTAAAAAGTGCATGAATGGGACCAGCTCCACGCACGGCTTGGTGGTTAAGGCTGCCACACCTCACGTGGTACAGTCTGAGCCCCGCTTGAGAAACACACCGGGCACATGGGCGTGCGCGCCCCAAATTCCGGAAAGACGGAGAGATAGAGAAAGAGGGATTGCGATGTGACCATTCTCCATGGTGGGGAGTGCTTTCTCCTCTCCCTCTCTGCTGTCTCTCTCTGGTGAGCACATGTGCCCTCGAGCAAAAATAAAAAATGAAAAAAAAAGTGTGAATGAATGTTTATATGTACACCAGCAGTACTTAAAATGATCAAAGCAAATGCGTGTAGCACTTTGTGCCAAAAACTATTCTAGACACTGTTAATTGTATCTTGTTTAACTGCCACTACTAGTGATTGTGAGACTATACCATTTTCTTTTTAAAGTGTATTTGTTTATTTCTTTCATGAGAGACAGAGTGATAGGCATCCCTTCCAGGGGAATGATACCATGATTCAGGGCCAGCCTCATCTGGCTGGGTCTCAGGCAAGTGTGTATCTGGCATGCTTGAGGGGGTTCCGGGATGTGAACCCAAGGCCTTTTTTGCATGTGGGTCCAGTTTTATTACCATCATGCCACTGGCTGGCCCCTACACTACTATTTACCACAAAGAAAGAAAAACTGCTGCCAATTAATCTATGATCTGTTTATTGGTTAGAAAATGCATCTTGATTTCAGTGCTATTAAATGTGCATAAATGTGAGTCTTTGAATTCATGCAATACGGTTTATCGTAATCTTCAAACAACCGTGTGGCGTCAGCATTATTATTATTACTATTATTATTGTTATTTACAGATAAGGAAACTAAATCACAGGCAGGTTGAGTAACTTGCCCAAAATAAAGCAGGCAGTCTGGTTCTGAAGGTCTTGCTCTTAATTATATACTGTACTGCTTCTTGCTGTGAACTTCGAATACGGAAATGAGAGAACCAGCTAGAAATTCTGTCATGTACATGGAAAGTAAAACGAAAGCTGTTTCCTAATAACTATTCTTTCTACTCTATTTAGCTCATTTCTTAAGGATATGATAAATATATATATTTTCCTCTGAAAGAAAAAAAGAACTTATTTCCTAGGTTTTCATATCTCACACAATTTTCATCTTTCTGGAATATTTAATACGTATTTGTTATGTACATACATTATTTGTTATCCTTGAGTCTCCTCTCGAGTTACAGTTTCCCCTTAGATGACTCTCTGGCTCATTTCCCCCTACATTTCAGTTCACTCATTCAGTAATTCAGTAATGAGGAATCGCACCAGGTACTGTAAGGTAACAGGTTTGCAGCAATGAGCAACCTTCTTTCTTCATCATCACAGAGAAATCACAGTCCATTGTGTAAAGTACAGCACAGAGGGAGCATGCGGAGGGAGCGACAGGGTAAAAAGTAAAAAAAGGCTGAGGAAAGCCAGGGGGAGGGGCGGGCATTCTAGGGAGACAGGACAGCCTGATTTGTTCAGGGAGCTTTAAATAGCTCATCACTGTTGGACAGCAGGGGTGGGAGGGGAGCAGATGAGATGAGACAGAGAGGGGAGAGGGAGTCAAGCCATGAAGGATGTTGAACCCCTACAAAGGAACTAGACCTATTGAAGCGAACAGGCCACTTATTTTGGGACTATTCCTTTGGTCCAAAGTTAAGAGGACATGAGACTTTTTTTTTTTTTAAAGCAGAAACTTGCATATATGAGAACTCTTTCTTAACTTTGGAATATGAGACACTGTATTCACCACTCAGAAAAGAATTATTTTATTTTTTTGAAACAGCGGTTTTTGAAGTTTCCAGATGATCCCAAAGTTAGCAATGAACTCCTTGATCTGATTCAAAGTTTGCTGTGTGGCCAGAAAGAGAGACTGAAGTTTGAAGGTCTTTGCTGCCATCCCTTCTTCTCTAAAATCGACTGGAATAACATTCGAAGCTGTAAGTAGAGTCATGTCCTTTAAATTCTGGTGCTAGGGTTAAAAAAAAAAAAAAAAACAAGAGTGATCTGAAATTATTCTGGCCCAAAGAAGCTGGTATAAATTTATATAAATAAAGGATTTAATTATCTCCAGGAATAGAAAAGACTAACGATGTGGCTGTTTTTGAGTAATAATTCTGCTTGAAATTGTTCACATAGAATTGGGTCATTCATCAAACTCTGTGTTTATGTGGCCTTTTGAGTTTTATTCCTCGTTAAGTTAGAGGCACAGATTGATGGAACTAGAAGGTGGTTGCTTGCTTTGACAGTTTCTTCTCAGAGAAAAAGTAGGCCCGAGGATTTAATGCACAGATGAGGAACCAGACTCAGTAGGTAGGCAATGTGCCCAAGTTGCTCTGTTGACGGCCCAGCCGGCACTACAACTACAAACACCTGGCTGTGTTCGTTTGTTTCCCTCTACGATATTTGTCTTTGCTCAGAAGCATGTAAAACGTATAATGTATATGCTCAGTGGATTCATTCATACATCACTTTGTAATCAATTAGTGAAAACTGAATTCATTCATTAAAAACAAAGAACTGATTTATTATGAACAAGACCGCAAACCTTTTTCATTCTCGATGTGTTGTTGATTGAATGTGATCTAAAGATCTGACCTGAACTAGCAGGTGGCATAGTGGTTAAGGTACTGGATTCCCATGTGCTTGACTGCAGTTCGAGTCCTGGGCCCAGAGGCTTGAAACTCACTCTGAGCGTGTGTGCCCAAAATCCCTCAAGAGGAGAATGGGGGAGAAGAGATTGAGGCATGGTCGTACCCCCTAGGGAGTGATTTCTTGCTTTCTGTCTCTCTGTCTCTGTGGTGAGCATGCACACCCTATAGTAGAAATCTCTTGGGGAGAAAAAAAAAGATCTGACCAAATGATCAACAAAGATTAGAGCCAGCAGGAAAGCAGTTCGTTTGTTTGGGTGTGTGTTTTATTTTTGGCAATGGAGGGAGTTCAGGAAATGGGACAGACCCATTTTTAGGTACCAAAACCTGGCTTCTAATTGGAGCTGTGCTGTAACTACAAAATCTTGCACCTTCAGCTGAGACATGAGTGTGGTTAAGATCCAGTACTGACCAGAGGGAAGCCATTTTCATGGTTTTCCTAACTTCCTACTGTCCTATTTCAGGAGGCCAGGCTTCGCGAAATCTCTCTGCAACTTCTTTCTTCTGATAACCACGTTGTTTTATCTTGCTAATCTTTAGACATCACCTCCAAATCTCCAAGGTGCAGGCTTTTTAATCACTACTATATTTTCAGTACATTCTTCTTTTTATGCTTTTAGAAAGATTTGATAGAGTTTCTGTTAGATGTTGTTCAAGTGCTTACTGTTGTTATCTCTGTAATCTTCTTAAATAAGCAGTTTTTTTATGCATGAACTTGCTGATTATGCCTACTCCACTTAAGTAAGTCAGTGAATGGTGATTAATTCCCTGAGTAACTTTATTTTGTGTTTCTTTTTTTTTTTTTGGAGAGATTTTCACTATAGGGCACGTGCGCTCACCAGACAAACAGAGAGACATTAGAGACAGAAAGCAAGAAATCACCCCCCAGGGGGAATGGTCACGCAGCAATCCCTTCTCCTCCATTCTCCTCTCGGGATCTTGGGCCCGCACGCACACGCACCTGGCGTGAGTTTTAAGCCACCGGGTCTGGAACTCGAACCGCGGTCGACCATGTGGGAGTCCAGCGACATAGCCATTACGCCAACTGCTGGTTCCCATTTTGAGTTTCTTTAAACTTCAGTGTTGTTTTGGTATGTCAGTATTCCTAGATTTTGTTCTGATCTTTTCTTCTCAGGATGTTAACAGATTTTTAGGCTTAATGGGTTTATAAGTAGAACTGTTTTTCTGTAAATTATATAGTGCCTGTGGAAGACACATGTCTGTAAAATGTAGTTCCTATTGTCCATGAGGAGGCTCATCTTTATTTTAAAAAATTATTTATTTGTCACATTTATTATTTTTAATTTGCTATAGGGCCTGTGCACTCACCAGAGAGAGATGAGAAAGAGAGAGAGCAAACTGCCAGGTCTGGGACGTGAGCTGTGGTCGGCCACGTGGGAGTCCAGTACCTTAACCACCATAACACCTGCTGGCCCCAAGGCTCACCTTTTGAAAGACCATGGTTATCTTTGGAATGAGGTAACTCTGATAGGTCACTATAGTCTCAGTCATATTCAGACACATTGCCTTTGTACTTCATTCACCATGAACTTTTGTGGCCAGCTGCTTAATTTTGCTTATCTTAATAAATATTCACTTAGTTTACCTTATCTTTAACACATGTTCCCAACCCTTCCACCAATTCACATCATGAATTTTCCTTACCCCACTAATCCTGATTCTTAAATAGTTTGGGGGACCAGAAGATGGTGGAGTGGTCACATTAGTGGACTTCCACATTGCTGACTGTGCTTGGGTTCTGGACCTGGTGGCTTCAAACTCACACCAGGCCCTTGTGCGTGTGTGGCCAGGATCCCAGGAGGAGGATGGAGGAGAGGGGATTGTGGTGTGGCCATCCCCTCTGAGGGGTGATTTCTTGCTTTCTGTCTCTCTGGTGAGAGTGCACATGCCCTATAGTGAGAATCCCCTGCACCCTCCCCCCCGCCCCCCCCAAAAAAAAAAAAAAAAAAAAAAACCCTTAATAATTTTGGGTTGGCCCGATAGCACAGTGGTTAAGCTACTATATGGAGGAAGCTGGATCCCACATGACCTACTATAGTTTGAATCCTGGTCCTGGAGGCTTAAAAAATACATGCCCAAGATTCTGATGGGATGGAGGAAAGAGGATTGTGGCGTGACCAAGCCCAGTTAGGAGGGGGAGGCGCGCACGCTCTCTTGTTCTCTCTTTTGCACATGTGTCCTCTGACGTAAAGCAAAACACACTTAATTTTTTTTTTTTTTATTGACTCTCAACTCATAGCATACTGGCTCTGAAGACTCATGAAATGTATTTGCCTTAAAAAAAGTTTTAATTTAAATAAATCTTTTATTTTAGAATAATATTAGATTTATAGAGAGATTACAAAGCACAGAAAAATTCCCACATATCCTTCTTCCAGTTCTCCTTAACGCCAGCCTCTTACATAATAGTGTCACATTTGTCAGAACGAAGATTAACACCAGTACATTATTATGAACTAAGCTGCAGACTTTCTTCAGATTTCACCAAGTTTCCCACTCACGTCCCTTTTCTGTCTCAGGAATCAATCCAGGGCACTACATCGCAAGGAGGGTGTTTGTATTGGAAGAGAGCAGGCCTGGCTTAGACACCAAGCCCAGTTCAGCTAGCAGGTGGGCTCTCCATGCTCACCGCAGGTTGGTTGTGCCTCGTCCTTGTGGCTCTGTGGCACTCCTGACCACGAAGAAAGGCCAAGAATGGATTGCAGTGTCTCCTAGCGGATTTTCCTGCATCTTACCAGCTCCCAATCCCTTCATATTTACAATCAGCTCAGGATTTAGTGATTGAAAAGTTTGCTGGGTTCTTGAGCTATTTGAGCTATTTTCTAACTAGGTAACTCTAACACAAATTATGACTTTGTCTAGGCCTGTTTTTCTTTGCTATTGGGCGCATGCTCTCACCAGAAAGAGAGAGACAGAGAGACAGAGAGGCAGAAAGTGAGAAATCCCCCCCAGGAGGGATGGCCATGCTGCAATCCCCTCTCCTCCATTCTGCTCTCAGGATCTTTGGTACGCATGCACATGCACCTTGTGTGAGTTTAAGCCTCAAGATCCAGGACTCGAACTGTGGTCGAATACATGGGAGTCCAGAGACATAGCCATTACGCTAACTGCTGGTCCTGTGTTTTTCATGACCACGTATTGAGTGACTTTCATCAAGCAGAACACTTGAAGCCATTAAGGTTCCCAAGTTCAAGGTTGCTGCACAAATGCCTTGAGGTCCCAGGCTGTCGAGTTTTTCTGCTTCCTATAACACGAGGTCGTCCCCTGATGAAAGCAACATTGGTCCCTCTATGCTATTTCACCCGTAGTTCTTTTTCTTGTTGTAACCAATGAAAGGAGGTACTGCTTAACACAGCTGGTAATAATCTTCTGAAACTCATTATCTCGAGAGGTGGTCCTGGCAGGATATATAAATGCAGCTGAAGAGGGGTCTGGGCAAGTTTCTGAATGACAGAACCGGGAGTGGCTCCTGAGAGAAAGTAGGATGAGGCTTGACTGTAACCCTGAGGTCCCACGGGGCATCTGTGCTCTCTAGGGTCCTACCGCTTGAGGTGGCTGCGAGTGGCACCACGTGGGCCAGAGATCTGATCCAGTTCAGGGATACTTAACTCTCCCAGCAAGTTAAAGCTCTGTGATGAGTTACTGCCACCCTCAGGGGTCGCCAGGCACCCATTACTCTAATGTTTCATTCCCAGCTTCACGCAAAGTTGGTTTTTCAGCTGTTTATCACTGTGATTATTTCAAGGCTGCTTTCCAAGTCTCAGTAGGGGGCTTCTTAAGCGTTCCAGCTGCCCCAGACTCTGCACTTCCAGCGATGTTTCAGATGTGGGGCAGGATTCTGGTGTACACTGCCTGATTTTTCTGTGGTTCTGGAAAGCTAAAGACAGCTAGAGCTCCTTCTTCACGCCTTTGGGGTTACGCCTACTTTGCTGGCATCACACACCTGCTCCCTCAGTGGGAAAGACTCGCTCTCTGGTGCTCCTGCCTATCACATCTTTTAAAAAATATTTTCCCCTAAAGGCCAGTACAGTGGTGTCTATTGGCTTGTGGAACCAGGATGCTGTACCTTTCCTCCAAGGCCGCCATGTTTGGACAGTGAGAAATGTGTAACACGAGTGGTGGTTATGGGTTACTTCCTGGAACATTTATGGTTCATGCTTTAGAAAACTTGTATTGTCACTTTTTCTCTTGAGTCGTCCTCCTTTTACTGTTCTCAGAATAACACAATTCTTGTAAAATTATTCTGCCAGGTTCTTAGCATTTACTAA